CCCCCCCCCCCAAACCTATTGGTGTATGGGATCAACTGAACAACCCAGCCAGGGCTTAACTTTTTCTTAATAGATATAATTTTGTTGATATTACAGATGATAGAGGCTTATTAAGTCTTTTTTGTTATAAATATCTGGTGGTTTCAGACTTCTGCTGAAAAATGGGCACTGCAATGTTTTAAGAGTTCTTCCTAAAAAAGTTTTGTAACATTGATTTAAGCTAACGTTCTTGTTAGAAAACATAGAACGAAAAAAAAAATAAAATCAATGTATCTGCTGATTCAGTGGAATTGTGTAGAAATAAGAAGATTGTAAGAAGCAAGTAATCTCCTGAAAATGCAAGGCAACATAAACCACATGCTGTTCAAATAGACTCATAAATCCCAGTTCTTCGTCCAAGTCTTCTGTTATCTATAGTTATGAGAAAATTTCACCTAGTAGATTTACTCCCTCTGTCCCTGGGTGTGTGTTGAATGTGTTGAATTAGGAGGCAGTATATGGAACACCAAAAAATAAGACACCACAATTCCCAGTGACTTTTCTGAAAAAGCGCTGCGAGTGGTCTCCGAGGAAGGAGTGGTGGCTGTGAGTCTGAGGCTGCCCCACGTTTGCTCTGTTCTTGGGCCTGCACGCATGTGCTCCTGAAGGCCCGGAAGAATTCTGGGTAAAGGCCTTTGCTGAATGAATGTCAGTTATTCTTAGACTTTTTTAGAGTTCAAATTTCAGAATTGTTGCCATGTACACCGAGCTCTGAAAATTAGAATTGATTTTAAAGTGTTTTCTTGGTTTTAAGTTTTCGAGCATAAGCAATGACTTAAAGTGGAAACAGATGATTAGAAAAACCATGGAATAAACATGCTGTTTTTTCTTCAATAGGAATGGGTTTGGTATGAGGAAGATGTCCTTGTGAAAACTTCCAATTTTATTGTCTACTTTACAATTAGTCCCCAATTTAAATCTGAACTGTGTTGGGATTTTTACCCCCACCCTTTCTTTTCTTTTCTTTTCCACTGAAGTTACTTGTGTCCAGGACTCCTACTCTCACACTATTCTGCTAGTCTTCCTACCTTATTTACGAACGCATCTCCCTCACAAGCTCTCCTACACTCATTAGAGGAGTAAAGCTTCCAAAAGTTTGTTTTGCATTTATTGCTTCTCAGTTTGGAAAGAGTCATAAGATAGTTTGGCTTCTCAGGACATTCTTAGACTGGGCCCAGATCTGTCTTTTGTAGCCGGCAATGTTCACAGATTCGGGACCCTCCATTCCTGCCAGATTACACACTGTCTGTTAGATGTATTTTTGCCTCTAGTACTTTACTCACTAAGCTCTTTGCTTGGAATATGTTCATTTCTCCACTTATCTAAATGCTACCCTTTCCTCAAAACCTCCATCACGTTTACTCCCCGCGTAAAGCTTTTCACAGCTACCAGAACAAAAGGGGCCCTCCCTCCTGAAGTCTTGTCACATCATCTGTCTGTAATCGAAGTGCTCCTCTGCTGTGCTCCAAGAGCACCTCCGTCGTAGAATTTACACAATTTTAGAACACTTGTGATTTAGGTTAGCTGTTGTTGTTGACAGCATTATTCTGTTTTATATTTTACATTAAACTATGAGTTCCTTTTTTTTCTTCCCTTTTCCCCCCATTGATCCCTTCCACCCCACATCTATGCCACCCACAAGCATTCCTCAAACAAATGTCTTTGTCCATAGGTTATGCATTTAAGCATATAAGTTCTTTGATTAATCTCTCCCCCCGACTCCATCCCACACACCTTCCCTCTGAGATCCCTCAGTCTCTTCCATGCTTATATGTCTCTAGATCTATTTTGTTCATCAGTTTATTTTTTAGTTTATTTTTTTAAGTTTCTTTATGTTTATTGTTGAAAATATTATAGATAGAAGCATGGAACAGACTGAGGGATCTCAGAGAGAAGGTGGGAGAGGGGTTGGGTGGGGAGAGATTAATCAAAGAACTTATATGTTTATAAGCATAACCCATGGGCACAGACACTGGTCTGGGGAAGGCCTGGGGTGGGATGGATGCAGGGTGGAGGGGATCAGTGGGGGAAAAAGGGGACTATGAGTTCCTTGATGGCTGCATGACCAGTGCTTTGTCTCTGTGTACCCTTGGTGCCTAGAAGTGGAACATAGTAATTATCTGACTGATGCTTACTATCTAAGTGAGCTGAAATGGATTAAGTAGAACCAACCACTTTCATACCTCTATTTGTAATTTTTTAATCTTTGTATGTCATCTTCATCTCTTCAATTTTTGAATGTCTTCGACACCTCAAGTCCTCAGCTCTGGAATATAAGCACTTTGAGAATATAACTGGTATTTTATGCCTCTGGTATCCCTGTGTCTAGTACCAGGTCTTGCAAATATTACAGAAGCAAACAATGTTTGTCAACAGACTGACTTCACAGAAAGGAGATGTTTGAGTAATGCAGCGTTTCTTTTCTATCTCTATCCAAAACACAAACCCAAATTGAGAAACCACATTTTTCCTTAAAAAAGTTAGAATATCACCCTGGCCAGTGTGGCTCAGTTGGTTGGACGGTCATCCTATACACCAAGAGGTGGTGGGTTCGATTCCCCGTCAGGGCACACGCCCAGGTTTCGGGTTCTAGCCCCAGTCGGGGAATGTGCAGGAGGCAACCAACCTATGTTATGTTTCTCTCTCTCTCTCTCTCCCTCCCTTCCACTCTCTAAAATAAATTTTAAAAAATATTAGATTATCATAAAAATCTATTTTTCTAATGCAACCTTATGGCCTACGAGTTTACAATGTACAACATTTCCAATGTGTCTACTAATAAGTGTACTTCTTTTCTCACGTGATAGAGTGCTCTTTTCCCCTTCCCTCTGTTTTGAGAAATACTTAAAAATAAGTCAAAATCCTGTAGCCTTTGTCTGGCACTGAGCAATCCACCCAGTACCAGATTTCCACTTTGGTTATCCCTTTCTTTGTCAATGGTTTATATTTACACCCTTTCTCTCCTTTTAAATTGTAGCTCCTCCACAGTTTGTGGTTAGGCCGAGAGATCAGATTGTCGCTCAAGGTCGGACAGTGACATTTCCCTGTGAAACTAAAGGAAACCCACAGCCAGCTGTTTTTTGGCAGAAAGAAGGCAGCCAGGTGAGTGTGAACATTGACTGCTTCTCCAGAACCGCCTGTCTTTGGCGATCCTCACAGTTTGTCTTGCCTTTCTTGTTATCAATGTGGGATTTGCTTTACTTCTAAAAAAGGAACCAATTCATTTAAAAATAAGTGGGAGTTAGATGTTCTAATATAACATTCTTTATTTTCCTGTGTTGATTTTCTAAAGTTCTGTGTCTTATGTAGCATAGATATAATGCAGTGTAACTAAACGACCTTTTAATTCTAACCAAAATCTCTGTCACTATTTAAAATTTCTGAACAGAAAGGTCATTTTGTTTTCTTGCCCTGAGTTACCTTGGGATGATCAGACAACATAAAGCACTTAGCACATCCTGTCAATATATATATTTCCATTACTCAATGAACAGAAAGCCGATTTCTATCACCTTTCTTAGGCAAATAGTATAAATAACTTTCCTTTATCACTTAGTTAAGCACATTTCCATGTAAATGTATGAGAAATATTTTGTTCCACCACCCCTCCTGGATTCTTTCACAGTGGGGCTGGACAGACAAAAGCACGTTGCGTACGTAAAGCAAGCGACACTGGTTTGGTCTTTGTTGTGCCCTGGTTTGCCTTCTCTTGGCAGAGGGCTTCCCAGACTCTGCTAAAAGCCAATCGGATGCATAGCTTTTCTCATTTAAGACGTGTTTCAGACTCCGACCACACTTAGCCTCTAGGTGCTGAGGTTATGCTTGGAATTTCCAGCTTCAACCAGGTCAGAAATCCTGTCCTTTGTCTAAGAACTTCTCTGTGTGCATTCCTGAGGGACCTAGAGATATTTTTTCTAGAGGATCCAGAACCATTTCCAAGGAGGCATATGGTTCTCAGGAAGAAACCTGCTGGTGCTCCCAAGTTCTGGAGGAATTTCCTGGGGAATGAGGGAAACCATGTTGAAAAGTCTCAGGAAATCTAAAAATGTTGCCAGGGATCTCTTCATTAAGAGAAGGTGTTGCCAGAACACAGGGATGATTGTCTGGGTAGAGACACATCAGGAAGGTCCCTCAGCCGTCTTTTTTAATTGCTGTGGTTTCCTCTATATTCCTGTTCCACCCCACACTAGCAGTTCTATCAACTTGACCCTGACGGGCAAATTGTCTTTCTTCCCTTCCTCAATGTGCCTGATGCAGTCACCCCCCATAATTTGTGGGGTGATGGGAAGATAAGAGAGAGCTGACCACTGCCTTACTCCACATCAGAATTGTTCCAGGCCTTAATTCCCACCCTTTAAAAAAAAAAAAAATCAGTTTGTGACTATAAAATTGTATCTACACATAGAATTCCTTGATTCTTTACTTAAAAATTGATTTTGGGTGAGAACATTGCAAACTCTAAACTGAGTGTAAAGCAACATGACCTTGGCTCTAACACACTTGCACACACACACACACACACACACACTCACACCTTGAAAAAGGAAGCATTCTAAAGCCATTTCCCCCCTCGTGATTGTACCGTCTTTGTAGCACTATTTATCTTTACTGAAATTAATTTTCTTAATCTAAAATATGAGGCCAATACATTTTACTTCACATAAATTATGAAGATGTCATAATAAAGTTAGTTTATATGGAAAAGTGTGTTACACATTGTTAAACATTATAAAGGTCAACAGGATGTTATTTCTAACATCTAGGTAGAAATGGGAAAATGCAGAATGCACCTGCTTCCCCCTGAGTCCTGGCTGAAGCAACGAGTTTATGCTTCTGCCCCCAGGTGAAAGCTTTCAGGGCCTGAGGTTTTCCTCTGCCTGGACAGTACTGTCCAGGACCAAGGAGAGACTCAGCACCACTCTGGTCCCCTCTGCTCCCAGGCCCACACAGTGTCTGAGAAGGCTGGGGCTAGGGACCCCTGGAGAGCCCTGGAAACTGCAAGATCCTTTCTCCTGCCACGAACTCTTTCCCCGCACCCATATGGGTGCTATGGGGTCTATAAAAGTTACTCTCTCAAGCTGCTTATAGTAAATATAATGATATAAATATTTATTTACAAGTGATATAACTAACATCACGTAAAGCAATTTGATTGTTGCAATACATTTTAAATCCACGTATTGAGTAAAATCCCGTTATAACATATCTTATTATTGCACAGATACAGCTATAACATGTGTGAATCCCATGCCCTAAAATAGCTTCAGGTTTATATAGGATATATCATAAAAGGTGCTTTGGGCCCAGCCCACAAGATTCAGTGGCTGAGGGTCGACCTGTGAACCAGGAGGTCACTGTTCGATTCCCGGTCAGGGCACATGCCTGGGTTTAGGGCTCTGTCCCCAGCAGGGGGGGTGCAGGAGGCAGCCGATCAGTGACTCTCATCGATGTTTCTCTCTGCCTCCTTCTTTCCTTTCCCTGAAATCAATAAAAACAGTTTTTTTTTTAATTTGTTTTTTTTTTTAAATCACATTTGACTATGTATTATAGTCTTTGGGTATTTTTTTTTAAATATATCTTTATTGATTTCAGAGAGAGGAAGGGAGAGGGAGAAAGAGATAGAAACATCGACGACTAGAGAGTCATTTGTCGGCTGCAGCCCGCCACCTGGGCACGTGCCCTGACCAGGAATCAAACCCTGATCGCCTGGATCCTAGGTCAATGCTCAACCACTGAGCGACCCCGGGCCAGGCCACAACATATTTAAAAAAAATAAAATGTGCTTTGGTCCCGTGGCCACATAAACATGATATTTAAATATGCTACATTGTGTTTTAATGGTGTTTAAAGAAATAGTGATCAAATAATCTCAAAGCATTTATTTTTCTGTTATTTTACAGTGTTATGTAATTCCAGGGATATTAATCTCTGGGAAAAAATTTTCCAGTTAAATAATTTGATTTGATTATAATGCTTGGCCTGTTTTTTTTCTTTACCTATATTGCTCACAGCAGAGGGTGGGGGGCGGGGAAGAGAGAGAGATGCTGTGAATTCGAACAAAAGAGAAGTGCTGGAGCAAATTGTAAAATTTCAAATCATGAATTGGGGTATCAGGGAAAATAAATTGGTTTTACTATCTCCAGTATCCAATTTTTGCAGTGATCTATGACTATCCATCAATAGAGAGACTTAAGAGCCTGGACTTAATGGTCCATATTCCTCAATATGTGCTGATAATGCCAATTAGCACTAATAGGATACCCAGCACTTCAAAGCAAGAAGAGCTCCGAGAAATTCCTGGGTTTTGCTTGCAATCCATTTTCTTTTGCCTAAGTCATACAAGCAGGGAATAAAAGATGATGGGTTAACCTCAATCATATGCCATTTTCCACGTCAAGGAATCATTTAGAAGGTGGACTAATATTCCAGTGTAGAGGAAGAGATCCCGGAGAGAATTAAACCCATCTGATGTATTAGTGCTATGTAAATTAGTATTCTAATGGCTAATTGTAGGAAAGTGCACACTTTGAGTTATTGTATCATTTTCAAGTGGCTTTAAAATTTAGACCCTTCCCTTTCAGATGGTTTATTTCAGTAATATCTTTGGATTCCACAGGAGAATTAGCTTGTTCGCAAATGATGTTTCCTATGATAAAAATGCCTCGCCTTCTATAGTAATACAAATTTTATAGGGGGGCAGTAGGACGTTGAAATGACACTCCTGACATGCTCGCAAACATCGCTTCTTTCCGAACGGGTTTAACAACATGGTGATGTTTATGGAAAGTGGGCTGATGGTGTCGCACGCGAATCTAATAAAGTGGACATCCATCACGCTGCAATAAAGCCAAGAGCCTCTAATTAAAGCAGGACATCATTCTCGGGATTCAAGTCATTTAGCGTAATTGAAAAGCGTTAATACCCTGTTTACCCCCTTCCACTGGTATTACTTCACGGGTAAAAAACATTTTAAGGTGAAAATGTGTCTTAGGCCTTTAATTGAATGTTATTACCTACTGATTGTAACGTATTGAAACTGTTTAATTACAAACCTGGAAAATAAATTACTATATTGAGAAACAGATCACAGAGCGTTGTAGTGTTCTGTTTTGTAAATAAATACAACATAAAAATTGATATGTCCTTATTTATAATCCATCTTGGAAATACATCTCAATATAATTTATTACGCCCAAATGTTTTTCTTAATTGAGTAACAGTAAAGCAGCATAGGTCATGGGAGTTAATATCCCTGCTCTCATATAAAATCATTTTAAAAATTGTGATTAGGCTGCTTATATTTAACATGAACTAAATAGCAAACTTAATTTTGTAAAATAAAGCATTTTTATGAAGTCTTTAAGATTACATACATACTGCAGAAACAACCTTAATCTTTTTATCTTCTTTGATTTGCTTAATCTTGTTTAGTCTGCAGCATTTTTTCATAGTTTGTTTTGAGGCTGTTACGACCTGTAGAAACCTTACAACAGATGCAGATTGGGCTCTGTGTCAGTCTCAGTCACACACTTTTTCTGAACACCTATAAAAGAATTTCTGTTAATAACATCATGTATTAAAAATGATCAGTGGAAAGTATATTTTGCATTTTTTAATAATGTGCAGTGTATAAAATATATGCATAGTTAATGTTACTTTCCAGATTCTCACATTGTCTGATGAGTTGAGCCAGATAAGCATTACTATGCCCATTTTACAGATGAGCAAACCATGTTTCAAAGATATGAAGTAATTAGCAGAAAGTCAGGAAAAGATGAAATGGTTAAGATACTTATTTTTTAAATTATTGTTCCTTCAACCAGAGCATGCTGACTTCTTAGAGCATCTTATTTTTCCATCATTTGGAAAAGTTTCTCAGTGAAACTCACTATGTGCCATTAAATTATTTCAACACTATGTTTTTTATTAAACTTATGTACTTTCTTTTCCAACCATATTTCCATAACTGCATTAGCTGCTGTTAATGTAATTTTCCTTCCAAGTGGGGAAAAAATATTGATGAGATTGTGTTTGTTTCCACAGAATCTACTTTTCCCAAACCAACCCCAGCAGCCCAACAGTAGATGTTCTGTGTCACCCACCGGAGACCTCACGATTACCAACATTCAGCGATCAGACGCGGGTTACTATATCTGCCAGGCCCTAACCGTGGCAGGAAGCATTTTAGCAAAAGCTCAACTGGAAGTTACTGATGGTGCGGTATTATTAGATTTGTCTCATGGAAATGATGGCTTTTTAAAAATTTTTATTTATTGATTTTTAGAGAGAGAGAGAGATTTGTTGGTCAACTTATTTATGCACTTATTGGTTGATTTTTATATGTGCCCTTATGGGACTGAACCTGCAACCTTGACATATTGGGACAGTGTCCTAACCAATGGAGCTACCTGACCAGGGCATGTTTTTTATTACAGGAGTCACATTAACGTGTGAATTTTCTGATTCGTTAGTTAAATTATTTTAATGAATTCTTATCTTTTTAGCTTGGATCCGGATAAAATAACATTTTTAATAGTTTCTAATTATTCTTGATTTAATACCATTTATTTTCCCAAAGAACATCCAAGACAGTCTATCATTAAAAACATAGTGATGCATTGTTATAAAGAAATGGNCAGTGTCCTAACCAATGGAGCTACCTGACCAGGGCATGTTTTTTATTACAAGAGTCACATTAACGTGTGAAATTTTCTGATTTGCTAGTTAAATTATTTTAATGAATTCTTATCTTTTTAGCTTGGATCTGGATAAAATAACATTTTTAATAGTTTCTAATTATTCTTGATTTAATACTATTTATTTTCCCAAAGAACGTCCAAGACAACCTATCATTAAAAACATAGTGATGCATTGTTATAAAGAAATGGCATTACACTCACATTGCATAGACATGTTATCTGCATATTTTAATTAGTCTTAGGAAGACACGATTGCTTCTAATAGATACTAATAATTTGATTTTATTAGAGGGGAAAGATAGCATCTTTAATATTATCAGTGGAAAAGGAGGTGGGTTTTTGGTTAGCTGGCCACATTGTGACATTAATTTTTATTTGTACACATGTATGGTGAATCTTAAACAAAGCACCTACACTCATAGCAAAGGTTGGAAAAGATTTAAGGCCCTTCATAGTCTGATTTTTCCCTAAGAGCTTTTCACAAATTACAACTAGAAAGTTTTAGATATTTTTTAAACCTCTGAGCATGAATTTAAGCTCTGTTGTTTGATGTCTTAAATTAAATTTTTTTCTGACCCCCTTTATTTTTGAGGTTTGTGGGGAGCTTGTTCCTTGACACTATGATTCTGAGACACAAGAGCTTCAGCCCGTGACCTCTCTGATTCTCTTCTGGTGAAATTTGATGTGCTTTCTTAGAGTTCACATTTACATGTAGATTAAAAGATCATTTAAAATTAATAGAAAGGCAATATTTTTTAATGTTAGTGATATTGCCTGATTCAGCACTGTGGCAGGCATGCAAATAAATAGAACAGACAGACATTAGCTGTGGGGCCCTGGGTTGTTAATGGCCGCACCTGCTGCTGCTGCAGAGATTCACTGCTACCAAGGGAAGGGAGTCAGGTTCCAGGAGGGTAACTGTGCTGAGAAGTTCTTCCTTTAGGTAGACATGAACTTTGACCTTTCATTCTTCTGTATTTCTTTAAAATAAATAATTGTTAATCTTTGTTAAGATTTCAAATTTTCTACTATGAGCAAAAATGTCTAGGTACGTATACTTGGAAAATCAGATGTTCTGACCAAAGATCAAGTTTTTGTCTACACTATTACAAAACAATCCAAACAATACTCAAGATCTCTACTGTGATCCATTGAAGATCTTAGGTTATTGTATTTACAAAAGCCAGACTCCAAAATATTTCTAAATGAAGAAATTTTTATGGAAAAAGCAAAACATATTTGTAGATAACAAAATTGATGAATGAGAATAATTGATTTATGATGTGATTCATGAAACAGGTGGATATTCAGAATTATGTCTAATATAATGGAACAGAAAATTTTTGTTTTGAGAATTTATGTTGGTTGATGAGATGAGCACATAAAACAGAGTTATTCTAGATTCATTTCTGAGGTCAAAATTAAGACAGTGATAAACAGTTTTAAATCTGATGACTAAGATGGCTCTGGACATTTTGCTACAACTGGCTTGAACATTAATTGCTACATTGATTTTTACTTAAGTAAGCAATCACAAAATTAAGATCCTTTTGCAAAAACATTGAATGAAGATTAGAGAGTTATTGATTTTTAGAGTAAAGAAATCTAACTTCAAGGCACACACATGTATTATTATTGTAAATAACCTCTATCTCCAAATTGTAACTTGCCACATTGGCTGATGATGTCAGCTTCTATTTAGTGTTTTGAATTTTTTAAATTGGTTAACAATTTAAAAATATGTGAGCCATCATTTTTATTTTCAACAATTTTTGTGTATGATCCAGGGCCATTTAGAGCCAATTGAAATTCCAAAGCAGAATGAAAACATATGCCATGTTCTGAGAAACAAGCAAAACATCTCTAGCAATGTTTCTGTTGTTACATTTTTACACTTAGACTCCTTTCTCAGAAATATTTTTAGCTCAAGTGTTCATATAAAATGAGATTGCTAATGGCAATGAAAGGTGCTATCTAGTGATAATTTTACTGAAATAGATTGAGCTAAGATGCTTCCATATACTTGAGTTTCAAAATATCCCACTAAAAAACCTCATTAATTCATTGGCACTGTTCTTCATGTCTTTTTTATTCTACTCTTTGTCTTTAAGAAAATTAAAACATTGTAATGAAAATTCTATGAGTAGAGCCAATAGACTCTAAAAGGACTGATGAGAAGGCATGTACTTATATCTTATATTGACAAGAAATGTCACACTGTGGTCTTATATGAATGGTGATTGGAGATTTATAATGCACAGTTAGAGAAAACCGTGGAGTTATTCACAGATCACTGCAAATCCTAAATATTCATTTAACCATTGACCTTAATGTCATGAAAACCTGTGGTCATCTTTTACTCATAACATGATTGAACTGAAAATTCCTTCTGGCCAGGAGATTTTTAATTACTTTATTGATCAAATTCATTTAAAATAGGATGAGCTACACATTTGGGAAGTAAAAAGGAGAGAAAGAAACTAACTAGATGCCTTTTGGCTCTATCTAATGATTTTAAGACTGAAAATAAAAGCAGGTTATAAGAAGTTACCTGAATTCTATATAGATATTTAATTTGAAACAGTTATTTAAAATTTAGTAAATAGTTTCTATTCTGCTTCTTCAGACCCATTTTTCTCATTAAATTTAAAAATTTTAATGTTTTGTGAGTCACTCTTCCCGTTTTAGCCCATGAAGTAAATAAAGTCTATGAAACTTTTCATTTGGATATCTATTTGCACAATTATTGCCAGATGTTTCATAATTGGTATAATACTATACTTTCACATTCTCTGACTATTATTTTATTTACTTCTAAAATGAATAATTTGATCAAGGAAATCAGTAAAATAATAGGTCTAATTTTATTTTTTTGGTAAAAAATACTTGAACAGTATTTTATTGTTTTTCTTAGATTTTTATAAGGTTTCTACATAGATACACACATACATATATACCTGCACACACATTTTAATGCAGATTTTTATGTAGTGCGTTTAGTTTTATTGGAAATCTACTACATCTTTCCAGGCAAGGGGCCTCTATAATAACTCCGATTTTAAATTCAGGTTGGTTGCTTTCTCATGATAGACTCTGAAAAGTCTGCATAATTTATTGCCTTTTTCTCGAATCTGTAAACCATAGTAATAGAGATGATGCATATAGATTGAGAAGTAATCATATACTGGCATTTATAGAAACTTATAGACAAAAAAGATTAGAGCGTTGATAAACAATATGTTTTATTATGAACATTGTAATATAACATGATCTTGAGAAGGACTATTTCTCTTCACAGTTGCATAGCAAAAAATAGAATCTATAATTTTTTTTATCTAAAACTAAATAGTTCATATTGTTCAAGGGTCAACTGTGTGTCTGTATTTTGAAGAAATGGCTGATTTTAGGGTTGGGTCAGGAATTATAGAAGATAAGCCCGGGGCATCTTGTAGCATCAGAAAGTAAGGAAGTACTTGAAAAAACAAAAAAAAACAAGAACCCACACATTGTTGGGTGTTGGGGGTGGATGTCAAAGGAACACAGGAGCCAAATGAATGAGTGCCCAGTGGTCATTATAGTTCAAAGTAGCATTGGACTGCAACTCAAAAATATAAAATAAATATACATGAGTCCATATTGATAGAAAATATGATTGAATAAATTAAGAAATGAAGAAGAGACAAATAGAAGATTTCCAAAATTTTTTTTTGTAAATACTCTGACCTCAAAGATGTGGAGCATAACTCCCCACTCTTTAAGTGTGAATAGCTCAGAGACATTTCTACCTGAGGGTACAGATATGGAAAGGGAAAAAACTAACTTTATGGTGGAGAAACCTGACAAACACACCTCATGGGGACGATCACAGTGAACATCAAGAATGATATGTCTTTTTTATAAATTTTTAAAAAATTTCCCCTCCCCCTTGTCTCCCACACCCAACCTCTCTTTGCCTCTGGCAACCACCAATATATTCTCTGTAGTTATGATCGCTTGTTTGTTTGTTTTTAAATTCAGATACAATTTTTTAAAATATTTAGAATTTTAATTAAATTTTTTTATTTTATATACATACACACACACAGTTGGCCCTTGAATAATGTGGAGGTAGGTTAAGGACACTGATCCCCTTCACAGTTGAAAATCCACATATAACTTTTGACTCCCCAAAATCTTAATTAATATGCTATTGACCAGAAGCCTTACTGATAAAATAGTTGATTAACATATATTTTGTATGTTATATGTATTATATATTATATCCTTACAATGAAGTAACCTAGGGAAAAGAAAATGTTATTAGGAAAATCGTATATATGCATAAAATAAAAAGTATGTTTTAGATAATTAACCAAAATTTTGGTTAATTATCTAAAGTTTATAGAACTTGCTGAAGTTTATAGAACTTGCTGAAGTTTATAGAACTTTCTCTTAAATTTAAGAAAGTTTCTCTTAAATTTAAGAAGTTTATAGAACTTGCTGAAGTTTATAGAACTTTCTCTTAAATTTAAGAAAGTTTCTCTGGACCTAAATATGTCAGTTTTATTATGAAGTGGTCTTCTTATTAGTTCTAGATAAAAGCTTGCCTTTATTTGACTTCATATTTCCATTACTCATTTAAATAATACTATACATTTGGATATGTTTCCTAAATCATTATGAAATCCTTCTAAAGACATGGAAGGTAAAATTTAATAAAAAACACACTGATATAAAAGCTTATGAAATTACAGAAAATGGATCCAACAAACACAGGAATTTATATATATATAAACACTGTTGAAAACCCAATGTTTGTTATACTATAAATAAAGTCTAATTATATTACTTATCTTTGCTTAATTGTAAGGATTAAGTAAATTATATCATTTATATTATATTACTATAATTTAAAGACTCAATATCAGAATTTTGGATAAAAATAATTTATAATCAAATATTTTAATATCAACAGAAATACTATAGCCTATATACATACAGTATGCACCTGGTGATAGAAAGGGTGAAATTATGTATTATACAGACACTTATAATAAAAGTAAAAGTGAAAATTTACTCTGTTCACATTTCCTCCACAGGCTTTCTTAAATTTGCACATGAGAGACAAAATAGACATTTTATAAATGACTGTAATAACCTCTCCATATTTTCATTTTAATATGATTCAGCCTTTCAATAACATTAAGCCTTTCTAAAATGTTATAATTTTATGCCATCATCATCTTAATTATAAGTAATTCAAACTCAGGTATAAATAATAATATGGCCTCAGTATAGTTTATACAGATAATAGATATTTGAGTGATATAGAATATGCAGAATAGGTTGTAAGTAACATGTACGATTTGGCGCCTTTGACCTTACTTTCAACATCAAGACTACTGAATTTTATAGAAGTTAAAATATTCTGAAAACGCCTTTACCCTTTAGTTTTGACAGATAGACCCCCGCCCGTAATTCTTCAAGGCCCAGCCAACCAGACGCTGGCAGTGGACGGCACAGCGCTACTGAAATGTAAAGCAACTGGAGACCCTCTTCCTGTAATTAGCTGGTTGAAGGAGGGGTTCACTTTTCTGGGTAGAGACCCAAGAGCAACCATACAAGAGCAAGGGACATTGCAGATTAAAAACTTACGGGTAAGTAATGTCTGACTCCTGTTCGTATCTCACCTGTACAAAAAGTCCTGACCCGGAGAAAACTGCTGTGAACTTGAAATCTTATTTCCCAGCACAACGCTCTACACTGTATTATGGGCCACGTTAGTTCCTATTGTACAAATGACGAGTTCAAATGAGAGGAATATCATTGTCTTTATATTACTCACAAATTTTTAACAGACTTAGATACTTTTTACACCTTCATCCCAACCTGTATGTACATAATCAGTGAAACTAAAAATCTTAAACACATAAAGCTAATAATACTAATAGAATATTAAAATAATCTCAAAGTGACAGATGCTTCTGATATACTCTCATGAACATAGATAGTTTATAAGGAAATATGGATAAGTTGGGTTGACCAGACAGTTGTGCGGAAGCAATAAGGAGATCAGACTGAATACACGGAGGCAAGCTTAGCTGGTTGATGGAAAATCTTACATTTTAGGTTATGTTGCAGTGGAATTTAAATGTAAACCTGTGGACAAGAACAAGCCTTGCTGGCCTTTTAATAGTGGATGAACATTCCTGCGAATTAAATAAGTTAGACCTGCTTCAGGATCAACTCAATCAAAACAAATACCTGCTTCTGAGTGTTGTATTAGCTGTGTACTACCATGTAACAAGTCAGCAAAAACACAGAGGCTTAAAAAGGCACATTTGTTATCTCACAGTGTCTATGGGTTGGAAGCCTGGGCGTGACTTAACTGGGTCTTCTGCTTCGGGGGCCACAAGTCTACAATCAGGTGTCAGGGTTGTGGTCTCATCTGAGGATTGACTGGGGATAAATTTGATTCCACAACAGGATTGTAGCAGCACTCAGTTTCTTGTGACTGATGACTTCAGCTTCTTGATTACTGTTGGCTGAAGGCTGCCTTTAGTTTCTTGCCATATGGATATTCCCAATATGACTTGTTCCCTCAAAGTCAAGAAGAGAGAGAATCTCCTAGCAAGAGAGGCTTTGCAGTCCTATGCAACATAATCACAAATATGACATCCTGCCACCCTTGCTCTATCCTGTTGGCCAGAAATAAGTCAACAGGCCTCCCACACTCAGGTGAGGGATTATACAAGCTGGGACTACCAAGAGGATGTGTCATAAGGGCCACCTGCCCTTTGAAAGTATATTCTATTCAATACGTTCAACAAAATATAGAGAATCTCCCTACATGCAGCAAGCACTATGCCAATGCTTGAGTGTATATTATAGCAATAGAAAGATTGGGAATGAGAGCCAGAACTAAGATGGTTGATGTAAGAGTGCACAAAGAAAATTAACCGAAAATGATTCCATGGAAGAACAGTTAGTAGAATCTGGTCTCTGGGGAGAAATTGGGAATCAAGATCAAGGAAAAAAAACACAAAAAACTCAAAAAGCAATGTTGAATTTTCTCTTTTAAAATGAGCACAGTGTTCTCTTACAGTGCCAATGCATCTGCAATCACACGCTTAGCTTGTGGTCATCATTGTATCATAGAGGTAAATACACAGAAGAAAGAACTACTCTATTTTTACATTGTGTGCATGCACACCCAGAAACACAAATCTTTAATATATTAAATTCATTTTAATTTGGAGACACAGACATTAATAATTGCTCTAAGCAGAAAAAATGCTTTGGATTTCAGTTAAAAGAAAATATAAATTAATATAGATTTTAGCTTGTCATTTTATTGATTGTAAAATAATGCTTAACCTTCTATAAACAAAATGGGAGTTATTAAAAAATTCACCCCAACTCTCCTTGAGTAAACATTTTAACTTCTCTCTGGGCTAACGGCAGACTCGGGCCATGGGGGTTAATGCAGTTTCACTGTACTGCTGAATTAGAGGTTGTGCTTGAACAGTCAGGATCCCCAGTAATGTTTGAAAGAAGCAATTAAAGGTGGGTGCTTGATGATGTCAAACAAACTTGGAGCCCTCTGGCAGGCTCCTGAGGAGCCTGTCTGAGATGCAGGCTCCAGGGGGCTTGTCTGCAGCCAACTACGACAGGAGAACAGTAGGTGAGGCGGCTGACAGCACATGAATCTCTGTTTAAAGCACTTGCTTAAGGATAAAAGAAGGGTGGGAAAGGCCTGAAGAGCGTGTGATCAGAAAAGGTCCTATTTAAAGTGGAAGGAATAAAAACGTGCTGAGGATGGCGATGATGATATAGGAGTGACTTTTTGCAGTGATATTTAGGGTTTCGATAGCCCTAAAAAAGGATTCTCTTTCTGTAGCATGACTGCCTTTAAAGGGAGATAAAAACCTGTTTTACAGTATTTCACGTGTATCAAAAGACTTCCTGTAGGTTACAGTCCTTTGTGTCTCACTATTTCTTTTTCGGTACTTAATGCAAGGGGGGGAGGCGTGATGAACATTGTGTTCCTATAGTTCAGCTAATTGGTAGCTGAATCTGTATCTTTTGAGAAGGAGAATATTCGAATCCTCATTAAAACATACCTACCACAGCTAATGTCAGCCTTGTAGCTCCACGCGATGACAAGGAGCTCCGTTAGGAAGCATTACCTGCCTACCCTCCTTTTGGCGTTTGCACGTGAGAGCAAGTGCTACATTTTAGTTCAACAGCTATAATAAAATGCAAATTCTTCCCTCTTTCAGAGACCATATTCAAATGAACATCCCATTAAAATCCAACCTCAGCTCATTATATTTAGTTTGTGAGTGATGCTTCTTAAATGAAAAGATGTCTAATGACTGTAATGCGTGCACAGCCACATTTGAAAGGATGGCGTTTTCCACAAAGGCTATCCCCCATCCTCACTCCGCATAATGGAGATAATATGGCAAAGAAGGACGTTCCAGGGCCATTTGAAACTTAGGTTAAAATACATAATGGCATTTAAAATCAATTAAAATGGTGGGGCGGCAGTAACATCCATGCACTAAAGATTTACTTGAGAATCAATTGTGGACTGTTCAGTCATCGATACACTTACATTTTGAACCCAGCAGAGATTATATTCTGTGAACGCCCGTATTTCATCCACAATTAGACTCATGTTCATCACAGAGTGTTAATTCCACGTCTGACTTGCCTTGCTCTGCGTGGTCGTCAGGTCCCCTCCCCAGGCTCACTCTCCCTTTGGCCCTAAACTGAGGCCAGTGAGCGTTTGCAGCGTGAGCCCAGAGGGCTTGTGAGTTACACGTTTTATTGACCTTGAGGCTTTTGTCACGGCACAGTCACGGAGTAGCCTGCCTTTTACATTTGTAAAACAGAACTTTTGATCTTATCAAGTATTCCTAAAAGCGTTTTGGAATAAATAAATAGCAAAAAGATTTTAACTGATATCGATAAAAGGGCAACTTTTATGTAAACCTATAAAAAGAGTCATGTGTTAGATTATTTCTGTGTTCTCTTTTAGCTCTAAGTTTCAATTTTTCTATAGGCATGAATTGTTTGTTTCTTTAATGATATAATATTCCATTCATTGTTACACGGCTACACTTTATAGCTGAACACTGATTTCTTTAAAGGGAAAGAGTTAGTATTTTTAACTTTTTGATATTTTCAACAAAGTATTTAAACCACTTTACTGGTCTCCCTTCCCTGCACGCTAGATGTCTGACACTGGCACTTACACGTGTGTGGCCACAAGTTCGAGCGGGGAGACTTCCTGGAGCGCTGTGCTGGATGTGACAGGTGAATTCTCTGCTATTATTTTAACAGAAGAAATCTTGAGTCTATGTCCGCGATTACCGCATTATTGAATTGAATACCAAGTTAAGAAGACATCAATGTGTTAAATTCATTAAAAGTAAATATTCAGTCTTATGCCACTTTTCAATGCCTGCACCACTTGGCCCATAGCCTTGCGTGTAAGGGATTCGATACATTTTCCCTTGACAACTTTGTTACTTTATTTTCTCAATCTAAAGAGAAAGCAACTCTAGCGATCATGTGTGAAAGTAAACATTTAGGAGAAGCAAATAGGGACATACTTTTGTTCCTGCGGATCAATCGCTCCCTGTCTGGGTCAGCTTCTTTAATGGACTGTTTTTCTTTTAAGCATTGTCTCAGCGCGTGCGTTCAGGAATGAAGCTTTTTCTGTTTGTCCTCTATAGAATCCGGAGCAACAATCAGTAAAAATTATGATTTAAGTGACCTGCCAGGACCACCATCCAAACCGCAGGTCACTGATGTTACTAAGAACAGTGTCACCTTGTCCTGGCAACCAGGTACCCCTGGAGCCCTCCCGGCAAGTTCGTATATCATTGAGGCGTTCAGGTATGGGACGGTTCCTGTTCTCTCCCTTGGGTTTTGCTTTAGCTCCTATGTCCTAAAATCTCACGTGAGCTGTCCTGCTGTTGTGTTTTAAGGACAGGTTCAATCAGAACATTTTAAGAATTTGCCTTTAAATCTGACCTTATTCAAGAATAGACTGCAGTGTTTTTAATTTATTTATAATTTAACTATAAGGTTAAGTATGTCTTGTCCCTGCCTAAGTTTATAGGGACCTAATTCAGGACGTAATCACTTAGCTGTTCTCTTTACCTTGACCATCATAAGGATACAAGATAAGAATTTAGCATTAGAACCAGGCAGAAAATTATTTAACCAGGCATTAATTAAAAATCTTAAATGAAATAAGTTACTCAATGTTTATTGAGGGACAGAACACTGGAACTTCGCTTCCTAAATAATTAGAGCAGAATTTAAAGTAATCCCAATGTTTTTATGCTAAATGTTTGAATACATCTATTGGGTATACTTAAGAGAAAAATCGAAAAGTTACAATTAAAAAATTGATTTTATGCACCCCTGGTTGCTGAAAAGAAATGTCCAATTGTTATTTGAATTAATTGTCATCAATTTAAGGATATAGACTATAAGCTAGCAAATGTCTTTATAAAACTGTCCTGGGAGAATTTGATGAAATACTTATACAAATAGGAAAATGTAGTTTCGTATTCAGTTCCAATGTGCTTGTATTTGCCATTATAAAGATAGCGATAGCCGCTCTCCTTTCCAAGCATTAGGAGAAATGCTTAAAAATGCTCTCGTTTTAGGCTCTCCTAATCCATTTAAGGTAACGATGGATACATAACTTTCAAATTTCAAAATATAATTTTCCTTGAATTTTCACACTTTGATGCATAAGGTCTTCTGAAAAATAAATGAGAGGCCCCGAAAATTGCATGTTCTCTTCACTTTGAATAGAAGGAACATTTGATCTTAGAGAGAGTGCCCTAGGCGGGCATGCCGTCTGTGGCTGCTGTAAGGGATTCAGAGATAGTTGGCCATTCCAAGATGGGCAATCACAGAACTGTGTAATGTATGATTTTATGAAAAACGTGACCAAGGGAAAATGCTCATTCCATGCTTCCTTTCTTCTTTTACAGATATGTAGTTTTAGAAGGCTTTATTATAATATTGCATGTGGAAATGACCCAAAGAAAACACACCTTGTAACAGGAAAATGTGTTGGCATAATTTACTCTGTAGTCCATTTATTCTTTCTACAGGTTAATTCTTTTCAAGGTATATATATACACATTTACGAGGACCATATTTATTGTATAAACTTGATGTTGTGCTCTTGGCCTCTGTTCCCTTTACAGGTATTCATTTAGTGGGCTGCTGTGCATTAGCAAAGGGCTGTCACATCTCCGGGGCTGAGTTTAGTTGTGTTGTGCATGGCACTTTCGTTAGGTGGGCTCGGCTTTGTTGTGGAATAAACTGAAATCATCCAAATGTTTCATTTATCGGGCTGAACACTCCAAGCGTTTTGTGTGCGTGTGTGTGTGTAATTTTCGGCCATTAACCTCTGTCATTGATACCCAACTCCATTTCCAGTGCCTTTACGACTGGGCCTTAACTGAAGTGTCTGTTCGTGTTTCAGCCAATCAGTGAGCAATAGCTGGCAGACGGTGGCAAACCATGTAAAGACCACCCTCTACACAGTGAGAGGACTGCGGCCCAATACCATCTACTTGTTCATGGTCAGAGCCATCAACCCCCAAGGCCTCAGTGACCCGAGCCCCATGTCAGATCCTGTACGCACACAAGGTAATTTCAAGAGCTGTAGACATGATTGGTTCTAGAAGCAGGCAGTAAAGCGGGTCTTTAAGAACAAAAGGAGGCATGAGGAAAGATAAATGTGTCTGCATTGCTCATTATAAGGGCTCACTAGACCCGAGCCTGTTTAGAAGGCCAGGTGCTGTTCACCTTGGTGAGTATGTCTTCTTTCTGGAAGTGTCAGGGTCTATCTAAGACAAAATAAACACAGTAATGAGATATATTTACATAGTAAGAGTGAATCAACTAATGTAGGGCTTTACTGTATTTTAAAGGGAAGAAACATGTTTCTCCTTCTTGGAAATTAATTATACAGTATCAAAACGTGATCTGGAATGGGTAAGATGTCCTGATAAAGATATCATTACTCCCTGTTGCTCGGGAATTCTGTTTTTATAGCGCAGTGGGTCTCAAGGTGTGGTTTGCATGGAAGCAGCATCTCATCACCTGAGGCCAGGTTAGAAATGCAGGTTCTCAGGCCCCCTCTCCGATGCTCCCAGGGTGGGGCCCAGTAGTCTGTGTTCAGGTGCCCAGCAGATGTTGCTGATGTTCTTGACAAGTTTGACAAGCATCACTACAGTGTGTTTTGCTAAACCAGACGTTTAAAGGAGCAATTGGTTTCAGAAAGGGGTAAATCACGTTTTCTGCCAAGGTATGTAATTCTTTTGACAAAAAAAAAAACCACAAAAAACAAAACCCACCCAGAACTTTATAAGATGAAAATGGAAGATTTCTCCCCTCATCTTTAGTAGCCTGTCTCTTCCAAATGAGAAGTCACTGGAGTCTAGGAGTTAATATAAGATATAGCATTATAATTTCTCTTCCTACTAGTAGAAAAAGATAATTAATAAAACAGAAATGGTGGCTTTATTATTTGTTACAACCTATTTCCCACAGGGTTCTTGAGAAAGGGTTAACTATTTCTTATTTGTAAAAGGCTTTGTACAAGATATAATTCAAAGTAGTATTTTTATACTATGAAAAGCACCATACAGCCATAAAATATTATTATAATTACAATGTAGTTCAGCGATAGTTACTAGCATGCTATTATAACGGAGAAGGGCTCCTTACAGGAATCGAGTGAAATAAAGTTACCACGTGATTTTGCAACGTTGCTGACATGGTGACAGTGAAGGGAGGAGGCGGTGCCACTTCCCTATTGTTCTCTCCGCAGTAATGTGATTAATTTTTCCATAATGATAAAGGACCTGTAGGTAAAGAACCTGTCTCAAGAGAAAGAAAAAGTACAACAAGGAATTTGAAGACCTGAGACTGGTTATATTTTACCTTGCCTGGATCCGATTGTTTTTACTGTGTCTGAATTTAATGAGTAAATTAAATTAAATTATTGAACTTGAGAAGGAAAAGGTGTATGGTTTTAAGTCAGGAAATTATGGTACCTGGATCATTTTTACCTGTGTAGATAGAAATAGTTTTTGTGTGTAGCCAGAATGGAAGGTGGGAAATAAAAGAATGTGGACGACTTTGGGTGTGATTAAACCCGGCAGACCTTGATCATTCAATAACTGTGCCAGTCACTAAATCTTGACTCATAAAATAACTTCTCCGTGTAAAGGTCAAAAAAGATTAATGAAAAGTTGTTTGTGATCTGACTTGTTCCAGTTGAGAGACTATAGAGAGCAAAAAAGACTTATGTCCTTTTAACAGATGTTTAATAGGAAAGCTCATGTTTTCTGTCTGAATGTCAGGACCATTTTTTGACACCACTTTGAGCAGCTTTGCAATTTGTAAAGCTCTTCTTTTCAAAGAACACTTTGCTGTATGAGCTCTTATTTTTTAAGGATATTAAATACCATATAATTTAGAATTATTTTAACAAGCCACCAAATACTTGCACCATCAACATCACAATAGACCATAGATATGTCCACAAACGTTAACATTATGCACCTAATCATTAATTTTTTGTTTTGTTTTAAATTAAACTTGCGATACCGTTTATGTTAAGGATGAAAAAAGTGGAACTGGAAAAAATCACCAAAGTGTAGTTCCTAATTATTTATGTCCCAATTTAAGTTATGGCTGAAATATGCACTTAAAATATTTTTACACGAGTATGGCACTGTGGCCCGAGAAAACAGAAGAAAACAAGATTAAGAAAATAAATCAATTTAAATTGGACTTCCTTTCTTAGATAAGGTAGTTGGAGAAAAAAAAAAAAATCAACTTAACATTATAGTGCACCAGTTAAAGAAGTTGATTTCAGTATGTGTGAAATTCAGTATTTGACATCAATTTCACGGGCTTGGGAGTCTATAATTTATATTTTTAATGGACACAGAACATAAACCATTATACGGGACAATAGAAGAGTATTTAAGTGAATGGTAAGTAAGGGGCCAGAACAAGGTAGGGCTGAGGCCATGTCATTCTAAACATGGCAACTCTGTTTTCCTTCCTTCCCCCGCCCCACCCCATGCAATAGTTTCAAAAAGCAGGTGCATCGCCTGTTGTCACGTTAGAATGTTTTGTCGTCGTTGGTAATTCTCACCCTCGGGTATTTTTCCCATTGATTTTTAGAGACAGTGGAAGCGGGGGGAGAGAGAACTGATGTGAGACTCGCGCGTTGGTTGCCTCCGGAAGGAGCCCCACCAGGGCCAGATTGAGCCTGCAGCCCCCATACTTGCCCTCGACTGGGAATCGAACCCTGGACCCTCTGGTGCACAGGCCGATGCTCTAACCACCGAGCACACTGACCAGGGCTTACTTTACAGCATTCTCTCAGTATTCTAAGTGTTTTGGTCAGAAGTATTTTTGTGGATTTACAGGGCGTCTTCCCCTTCTTTCCCTCACTCTGTTTACCTTTAGTAACATAATTCACTTTTCCAGTCCCTCTGATTCCTTTTCTTCCACATTCCTAGACTGAAATAGGTGGAATAAGAACACACAGTTTACTAATCGGGACAGAGAATTAAATAAATTCCTCAACAGCAGTTTTCAGATATCACTCTACTAACTACCCAAAACTGTCTTTCAACATCTATGTAAAACTGATGTTTCCAGAGAAGTCTCACACAGAGCATATTTTATGCTTTAATAAGAAAATAATGAGACTTCCCACAATAGTGTATTTGAATGGGGTGAGGGATTTCATAGACTCTTTTATTAATATTATTTTAGTGAAGATAAATATAATCTTTCAAATTATGTTCGAGCACGGTGGTATGTATATAAATACTCTTTAATGTTTTTGTCATAAAGGGTTTTTATTTTTCCCCTGTGATTATTTCTAATGGCATAATATTGGCTCATGCAATATACATTGGAATTTTACTATGAGTTTTTAAAACTTGCAGATATCAGCCCACCAGCACAAGGCGTGGACCATAGACAAGTACAGAAGGAACTAGGAGATGTCATAGTCCGTCTTCACACTCCAGTTGTACTGACTCCCACGACTGTTCAAGTCACATGGACGGTAAGTTTTCAAAGGCCATATTAATAGTAGTGTCTTTTATTGTTTTAAGAAAACTAGCCAAAAAAGAAAGAACAAGTTTAAAAAAATAGTAATAAAACCCCTTCCCATTCAAAATCAAGGCGTAAGTAATGGCAAAAAGAGAAGAATTCAATAAATAAAAGAATAAATATAAGAAAAAGACTGATTGCAATATAAACAGAACATGTTCTGTCTTCTGAATTTTTAACAGCTTTGTTGAGATATAATTCATATAGCAGGGTTAAAATGTACAACTCAACGGTTTTTAGTATACTTACAGGGTTGTACAATCATCCCCGAAACCTGATTTTAAACACGTCACCATCCCAAAGTGAAACCCTGTGCCCATTAGCCATGGCTTCTCCATTTCATTTTGCACCACTAATCTACTCTCTCTGTAAATTAGCCTATTGCTTTTATAGGAATGAAATCATGCAATACGTGGCCTTTTGTGTCTGGCTTCTTTCACTCAGCATAATGTTCTTGAGGTTCATTCATGTTATAACATGTGTCAATATTTTGTTCCTTTTATTACCTAATGGCATTCCATCCCTGTACTGATACGTCATGTACATCTGTTTATCCATTCGATGCACCTTTAAGTTGTTTCTACTTTAGGCGACCATGAATGATGGTGCTGTGAACATTTGTGTACAAGTCGACATATGTTTTCATTTCTCTTGGCACATATCTAGGAATTGTTGAATAATATGATAATGCTTTGTTTAACATAAATAGACATTCCTTAGAGAAATGTCTGTTTAAATTATTTACCGATTTTTAAATTGGATTGTTTGTCTCCTTATTATAGTCTTGTAAGAATTCTTTATATATTAGATACAACTTGTTGATCAGATATATGATTTGTAAATATTTTCTCCTAATCTGCGGTTTGTTTCTTACTTTCTTAATAGTGTTATTTGAAGCACAAAAGATTTTAATTTTGATGAAGATTTCTTGTGAATTTAAACCAAACATCTTTATATTCTTTAATCTGAATCTCATCCAGCATCACCAAACATATATATTTATAATTTTAATAATTTGACATATAATAAAAAATTAATGGGTTTAAGAAATCAATTAATATTTTAATATATGCCAAAGTGTTCAATTGCATGCATTAATGAATGTCTACCTGCCCACTATTATTTTAAAATACAAAATGTTTTGACCACATAGTAGCCACTTCAGCAGAAACTACAAATAGCATAAAAATAGCCATATTAGTCATATTAGAAAATGCTAACAACTTGTGCATGTACCTGAGTCTACATGTGTGTTTGTTTTGAGAAGAGCTAGATAATCTTCCCCTAGCCTAATACAGTTAGTGCCAACGTTTTCTTTGTGCCCAAGATCCCTCTATTATAATTTTTAAAAATCCATAAGGAACTATATTAGGATGACAGAAGACACATATTCTTTAAACCTCCTGTGGTGTGATAGATCTTGTATACTGTATATGTAATGGACATTTTAGTTTGGGATACCTAGAAAAGTTTTTACTTTAATCGTAATCCTAATTAGAAAGTATAATTATTTCTCTATTTTTATTGTTTTTGTTTGTTTTTGTTGTACAAGAATGACTATAAGTAAAAAAAATGAAATCTGAATTACCATTCCTCCAAGGTTCTTTAGGGAAATAGTTATTTCCCCTATTACCATTCACTTCCTCAACGAAAGAAGGTGAGAAAAGAAAACCTCCCAGTTATTTTTCATCAGTTCTTAATTACTTATGTTTGAAATAGAAAACACAGTGAATTGAGTTTTTCCAGTGTCCTCTCAGTAATAAACCCATTGAACAAATACAGTTCAACAGCCTTTTTTGAGAGCCAGTTTGAGCCCGATGTGCATGTGGGGAGCATCAGTCTGCTTGGGGGAACCCTGTGCATTCTTGACAGTGCCCAGGGATACGTGCAGATGTGCTCCCTACAGACAGAGGTTCAGTCAGAGGAGTGATTAAACACCAGAGAAGGTATCACCGCTCATCCACTTCTCTACGAAGAAATATGGAGGCATTATCTGAGGACAGGAGAAACTTAGTGACATTAAACCTGCTTAGTTTAATTTTATAATTTTAGAAAAGGAAACCAACGCAGACAGGTTGAATAATGTTCCTAATATCCCATGTATATTTACAGATAACAATAGCATTAGAATTTCCTTACTTCAAATTGGCTTGTAGTGTTTTCACTGTAAAGATAAAATGTAGATAGATACTTAGTTGAACTGAAGGCCTTTTAATGGTGGAATTTCAACATATGCTCCTGGATGGGGCATTTTGTTGTTTCTTAAACCAGACCATCTGATCAGTCACATTTTTGGCCCCTAGTANCATATGCTCCTGGATGGGGCATTTTGTTGTTTCTTAAACCAGACCATCTGATCAGTCACATTTTTGGCCCCAAAATTGAGCAGTACTTTAACAAAAATAAAACTAAATTTATAATATTTTAAGAGTAATTATGATTAGGATTACGTTGTTTCTAATTCCATTTTTTATATAATTTCACATGGACATATTCTATTTTCTGCATATAATGGTTTCTATTCTTCTGTTCCCATGAAAGGAACATAATGACCTCATCAGTGGCACAGTAGGGGTATTATCTGCCTTGCCTCTTCCATCTTTCTGTAGCTTTCACTAGATACAAAACTAACAAGGCCAAGATAGTTGTATTTTTAATAGCATATTTTTTCTCATTCTCAATTGAAAAAGTCTTCTCTGCTCTCTTGGGAATTTTGAAGGGGCTTTTTAAAGCTGCTTCTAAATGTGGGAATTATTTGGATAAGAATCAGTCATTATGTTCATGAAATTAATTACTTTAAAAGTCATTGAGTTAAAAATAATACATCAAATTATATCAAAACTGCAGGTCAGTAATCTGGGAGTCCTTTCAGGAGAGGGACCTTGTCATACGTGTCTTTATATCCCAAGAAGCTTGTTATTTCTAGTTTTTGTATCTCTCTCCCTCATGAGCTTGACTTTTGAGAGTCTGAAATCTGTAATTTTAATTTCTGTTTCTTCAGAACAAAGCATCATTTATGAAATTGCCTTTCAATAGCTGTCTGTTAAATGGTCAACTCAATTTTTTCATGCGTTTTTTATTTTTAAAAGAAAATGTTCACCTGGCCGAGCGTGGCTCAGAGGTTGAGCGTCAACCTAGGATCCAGGTGATCAGGGTTCGATTCCCGGTCAGGGCACATGCCCGGGTTGCGGGCTCCATCCCCAGTCGGGGGCGTGCAGGAGGCAGCCGATCAATGACTCTCTCATCATTGATGTTTCTACCTCTCTCTCTCCCTCTCTTTTCCTCTCTCTGAAATCAATAAAGATATATTTAAAAAAAAAGGAAAAGGAAAATCTTCAGTTATATCACAAAGTATTGTTCCCCATGAGAGAAGCATGTAGTTGAGAGGTAAGTGTAGTGAAATGAAGCCAGACTGGGGGTGAGATTGGTTTTCAAAGAAATTATGACCAACTATTTTATTTTGATGTCGTATTTTTAACTTCCTAAATGTGCATATTTTAAAAAAATATATTATCACATTGTTTGAGTTACAGATGTGTTGGGTTTAAAGGGACAAATATATACCCCAGCCCATGTGTTCAGACTTGGGGCCAAGGGAGGTGGTTTACCAATGGTTGGCAGGATCTAGTTACCAAATATACATGATATTTGTGCTTAGAAAACCATCCACCTGCCCCACAAGACTAATCTTGAAGCATCAATAGTTAGCATTCTAAAAACGACCGATTTTACAATGAGTGTAGGCATAAATGNCAGGATCTAGTTACCAAATATACATGATATTTGTGCTTAGAAAACCGTCCACCTGCCCCACAAGACTAATCTTGAAGCATCAATAGTTAGCATTCTAAAAACGACCGATTTTAAAATGAGTGTAGGCATAAATGATAAGAGAATGGCTGTTCCACAAAGAAAATAACAGTAAATATTATGTTTTAAAATATTCTGGTGTGTATGTGTGTGTGTGTGTGTTTTGCTTTTGTTCAAGGACAAAAAGTATCGCAGACTCTTTTCCCCTAAATATTACAGCTCCTGGAGCTGAAAGAGTGTCCTAGCGAAACAGGCTTTCAGAACTCAGCCACATCCGGATCCGTCCCTTAGCAGACAAAACTCACCTAAGAAAATGTATTTTCAATTTTCAGGTTAGGTAGATTTTTTTTAATTGAAAAGATATATATTAAGCATCTGACTTAAACATTTTAATATAAGTGATCATTTGAAGGCCACATGTAGACCCCCTTTTTTAGAATATCCTTTACTTAACAATGATGCTTTGTCATTGTGCATCTCTAAAACTTGCAAATGCTTTAACCTATAGTAGTCCTCTAATTGTGACTGTGCCCTTGTAATATGGGTGTTACTTGAGTAAATTAAGTAACCTGAGACTCAAAGTGTAAGAGACTAAGCTGTAACTCAGCTGAGACTGAACCTCTCTTCATCATTTCACTTTTTCCTTAAGAGAACTTTTTTTTATGCACGTTTCAGAAAATACCAATTTTTAAAATTCTATAAACCCATGGAATTGTGTCCAGCCAGACTCATAATAAGAATGGTAATAAAACTAGTAACAAGCATATGGTTTAACTTGAAAATGACCACCTGTCAAAATGTGCTTCAGAAGTCAATGGTGTAGAATGCATAGCCAATAAAAATCCCACCTAGTTTTGCAAAGGTAATGTTCAGCATTTTCATTTTTGCTTCCACCTGTGACAACAATTTTTTTTCTGAAAAAGAATGCATTACAACTGCACACAATCGGGTTAAACTATTTAGTTATTAAGTGGGTCATTAGAAAATACTGGCTGAAGGCATGTACACTGAAGTGAGCAAGGTAATGTTGTGTAGTAAACATTAGGTTCATAAAGTCCCTAAAACACTTAATTAATGAAAACCAAACATGGATAAAACCAATTTACCCTGATTTACAGACTCCCTTCATCTGGAAACAGCTGCTTAATGTTCTTCTTAAAAACACAGCTTGCTTCTTTCAGTATTAACAAGCTATTATTGTGAGTTATGTCTTTCTTTCAGTATATAAATTCACTTAAAGTGAATGCAGAGAAGTTTATAAAATGCAAGCTTAATGTTGTTTTAACATATGTTGTGGCGATTTTTTTGAACAGTGACAGTTTTGATGAAGGGTATCTCTCTTTGGCTCTCATAAATTCAACTTTTGGCTTTTTAGTTGCCTAGTTTTATAATGTCAAAACCGCTGCTTTTCAAAAAATACATCCATTGGTACAAAACACAAAAGTGTGGCATGGCTAAGGATCCAAAGGTCATGGCTCTGGCATCAGAGCTGGGCTTTCTTTTTCATGGCCTGATCTCCTAAAGAGTAGCACTGACTTCAGCAACTCCGTGAGGGTTAGATAGCTGCCAGGCGGGGAAAGGAGCTCCTACTCCTGGATGCTCATCACTGATCCTGGAATTAGCTGTACGTAGAAACACACAAGCTTATGATCACCAACTTCGTGAGTTTTTCTAACTTGGACATTCTAAATACAGAAAAAAGAAATCCCTCTGTTCCATGATATTTTAACTGAGATTCTGCAAAAATTTTGTAAATGCTGCAACTCAAGAAGTTAGAATTTAATACATGAAAGAATAGCATTTGTTTATAATGTGTTAACAATTGAATAAAGAAATTTTTAACAAACCGAAGTCACCATTACCTCCTTTTATCATTACCTCTTCTATTTCCTCTCTCGGCAAACTTCCTAAAACGAGGTCTTCCCACCTCTTCTCCATTAAATTTTACACTTCCCTTGACTGTGAGATCTGTCGAGTGAAAGGCCTTTTAGAGCATAACTAGCAAACTGTAATATATGGGATGTTAATTGGAGAAGGTGCTATGAAAGTTACATTTGTCAGGAGACATGGCAAGACATTGAAAAGCAAGCTAAAAGTCCTTTTCTCCTTGAAAATGAGAAAAAAAAAAAAAAGGTAATACTTCAGTAAAGATTGCTTCGTAAATGTATTAAGAGAACATGTTTCATTTCTGGCTTACTTTTTTATGTATTAGGTTTTATATAGTTATTATGAGTGAACAAAAAAGTTTTTTTAAATTTCTATTTGATATGAGTTTTCAGATTCAAAGTCTCATATTTTCATCTAAAAACAGCCGCTTATCCTCTGTAGCTTAAGTGAATGAAAGAATCAAGAAAGTTGTCAAATTGTGCCAGTGGTGGGGCTACTGGTAAATTAATACAAATTTTTAATATTTGTTGAGGGGAATAAGCTTTTTTATGCATTTAAAACAGACTCTGTTGTTACACAACTGTCAGTCTCTCTCGCATGCTTCCTCCACCCACAGGGATTGGACACAAGCTGTCCCCGCTTTCCTTCCACTGGGGAAATCCCACTGTCCTTGTAGATCAGGGACACCTTCCTTCCTGCTTCAGCCAGCTTCCTCTCCCCTCCAGGCTCCCTTAGCTCCCTGGACGTCTCCGCCCCAGCACTGGCTTGTGTCTGTTTGTCGGGACCGCAACTTGGACATTGGTCGGGTGATCATGAGGCAATGCCCGCCTTCCTCACGGGCTCTGCGCACCATGAGGCAGGGACTGATTACTTCATTCTCCTTTTTATCCCCAGATTTTAGGAAAATTCCTGGTGCTTATTAGTAGGAACCCAAACACTGTTTTGAGTGAGCAAAGGTATGAGTGAATGGACAAGGGCTGAGAGTGGCAATCCCTGACAAGGAGCACATTATATATTCAACCACACAAGCAGCAATTGTTGTGGATAGAAAAGGGACAAGCAGATAAGAAACGGAGCTGGGAAAATCGGCAGGCCTAGGTCTTGACAGGACTTTGTGCTAATCCAAAGAACTTGAATTAAGTAGGTATCTTGGATTCCGTGAAGGATTTTAAACAGGAGAGAGAGTTGTTCCACTCGTCCCTTTGGGAATAGTAACTTGGGAGCGGTGTGAACTCAGATTTGGAAGAGCACATAAGAGCTGGGTGTGAGTTAGAAAGCTGTGGCGTCACTCGGGTGATGGCTGATGAGCACCCCAACAGGGACAAAGAAATGCGAGTGGATCCCCTGTAACGTCGGAAACACTCCCTTCCATTTCAGAAGCTTATTGCTCTGTTTTTCAGGTTGATCGCCAGCCCCAGTTTATCCAAGGCTACCGGGTGATGTATCGTCAGACCTCAGGCCTGCAGGCGACACCAACGTGGCAGAATTTAGACGCCAAAGTCCCAAATGAGCGAAATGCTGTCTTAGTCAACCTGAAGAAGGGCGTGACTTACGAAATTAAAGTTCGACCTTATTTTAATGAGTTCCAAGGAATGGATAGTGAATCTAAAACAGTCCGTACTACCGAAGAAGGTCAGTCTTTAGATTTCTAACATTAACCAAACTGGAACCATAATGAAACCAATTTCTGTTGAAGTTCTAGTTTATCATCTTTCTTGGAAGAGTAGCAAGAGAGACTCTAAACATGAATCCAGGAAATGTTATTTTTCTCTTTTTATTCTGAGAATTCCATAAAATCTGACAAAAAAAAAAAAAAAAAAAAAAGACATTCAGTAATTTGTAAACACTTGCCCCAAATCTTGTTTGTCAGTACATTGGAATTTGATTATAATATTTTTCCACATATTTTTTACATGGATTAGGCTCACTTAGCTTCGTTGAAAGACAGGCTTCTGGGAACTCAAGAGCACAGGCTATTCATTGTCCCTCCTCTTTTTTTGACACAGTAAAGCATGACATTTTCTTCTTGAAGTGTCCTTCCCTGTGGCTTCTGCCGGTCTGACTCATAATTTCTAATTCAGAAAGCTGTTTGCAACAGCTTTCTTCCTGGTGTCCTTTCCTCCCCTCTCCTCTTTGGAACTTTTCTTGCCTGCACTTTAAGGTCAACCTGTGATAGACATGAAATAAATGTAAGACTCCACCTCCATTTACCAGTGTCTCCTTTACTTAACTAGAGGCTTATAATATATTCTATCATAAAAGTGAAAAAAAAAGTCACATCCCGAATATATTTCTTCCCTTTTCTGCTTTTTTACTAATTTTTTGTATATGCTCCCATAAAAAAATATTTTTTTCTAAACATATTTAATATAAATTAATGTACTAACCTTAAGAAAATGTATATAGGTTGCTCACGCTAACATGTAGATGCTCATGTGTGACCAAAGAGCTTTCCAAGTATGTATGTCTTATAATAAGCAACACAGTGAAAATATCATCACCTTAGAAGTCTGTGTTTTTAAAGGCATGACTAATTTATCTTTAGGAAATGTAAAGAAAAAATGACTAAAAATGTATAATAGAGTCATCAGCATTACGTTTTACTTTCCGTTGAAAATGTGCAGAACTGCGGAGCGGGGTAGTTCAGTGCAGACTGCTGCGTGGGAAGCACACATCCAAACTCAATTTCGCCGCAGTTAGGCCTTTCCCCTGCATTAGGCATTGGTCACCAGTCGTGGCACGTTCAGCTCCGATTTCTGAGGCCTCGTGAAGGTAGCAAATGGAACTCAGCTGGCCTGTGCCCCGGAGCACTGAGGGGCGATTTGGGTTCTCTCACATCTGTAGAAAGGAGCTGAGCACAGGAGTAATTGACCTGTCAGGAAGCAGGCATGGGGTTCTCTCCCAGCCCGCAGCACGGCCAGTGAGAAACCAGTTCTCACAAGGGATTTTTCAATGCAGTCTACTTCATAACTGCAAAACTGGTAGACAAGTGGCGGGACTTAAGTCACGTGCCATGCTTTTGAGCAATATGATCACATCTGAATGCAAATATGATTATACCTCAGGGAAATGTGTCATGACAAATTTACCGAACATGGGAGACTTTATTGATAGGCTTTAAAAATGTCCTTTACAGTTCAATTGTATATATTTTCAAAGGGCTAAAACTGTGTAGAGTTAGGAAAGCATAGACTCTTTTATATAAAATCCTTTCAGTTTTGTTTTGACTGTTAGTATTTTGATACTGATTTTTCTTCCTTCGTTTTAAACTGAGGGAGTCACTGAGAATTTATGCTTTCCACTAGAATTAGTGTTTGTTAGCTCTCACATACGCTTTTATGGGAGACGCTGCAGTCTAAAATCAGAAAATCTTTCTCACTCACCTTTCCTCAGTGTGATTACAGGAGAAACCATAAAAGAAGAGAAAGTAAGAAGTTAAAATGTGTCCGTGTCACATTTGACCCAACATGAACTGTTTTCATTTCTACCTTCAGAGTTCCTTGCCCATCAATATAAAATAAGTCTAAAATCTTAAATTATGAGTCCATTTAGAACAATTATTTTTCCCGATATGAAAACACAAGTATTTTTGTTGTTGATGAAATGTGTAGCTGTATTTCTGTTTTTATTTAATAAACGTAAACTAAAATAAATAGGTTGTCAATAAGGCCACCACTCCGAGGCAATGACTAATAAAATTTTGTTTACATACTCTCAGAATATTTTTATAGCAGTATTTTGTTCTGTTTTCAGAAAGAGAGCCCATGAGAGTCAAAAGAATCAAAGGTCTAGAATTAGACCTGTGTTCAGATTCTACCTGTTGCTTTTACCTGCTGAGGTGCTTGTGAGAATTAAATCTGACACTTAGCTCTGTGCTGGGAACACAGAAAATACTCATCAGAACGTTAGCGGTGACGTTCACTGATCAGTACCTATTGCCACAGCTACTGTATTTGCTTTAAACCCATTCACTCTGTAAGAGACAGTGTATAAACCCGTCACTGCCGACTGCTTTGTGCGCTCCCGGCAGCAGCCAGCACCTCCTGCCCGCTGCCCCGCATTCGCCTTCTGCGGGCCCCTTGGCGCACAAGCGCGAGAGCCTGTGCTCACTCTGATTGCCTCCTCTGCAGCCCCCAGCGCCCCTCCGCAGTCTGTCACCGTGCTCACGGTTGGAAGCCACAACAGCACAAGCATCAGTGTTTCCTGGGATCCTCCCCCTCCAGATCATCAGAACGGAATCATCCAGGAGTACAAGGTAGGGCCTGCGCCAAGAAGGAAGGCCCACGCAGAGGGGTCCCAGGGAAGCTCAGTGCCACATGGATGAGCTCCATCTCCGGTGTCCCTCTTTTTGAGTCTGAGCGTCATTAATTTTTTATATGTTTGTGCAACAGGCCAAGAAACAAATGGATAGGGGATTGGAACCTAAGTCTTAGGGCACAGATAACGCAGACTCAGTTGCACAAGTGAACCACAAGAGTGGAGTGGCTTTTTGCTATTAGATTTCTGTGTAACAGCCTTAGAGCAGCGTTTTTGAATTGTGTTCTCAGAACAAGATGCTTCGGGAGTTGAGAGACGTGGGCTGTGACTAGGAGGGTGGGCAACACCACTTCCACTCTTCAGTTCTGCTTCTATCAATTTACTGAAGTTTTGTAAAATATTTTATTCAGAAAAAGAAGCCATTAAAAAAACAAATTTTGTAAACACTGTTGTACCAAAAAAATGGTTTTATCTCATTTTTCAGCTGAGCTAGTTGCTATTTAGAAGCAGTATCTGTCCATTGTTTCTTCATCATCATTTGATGTTGAAGAGACAAAACGTGTAACTCTGAGAAATAAGATTCTGGGGAGGTGATGTGGTTAGACCACCGGTGAGAGTAAGACACCTCCACATTAAACCTGGCAAAGAATTTAAAACTATGATTATTTTGTTATTAATAAATATTTACATATTTTTGACAACTATATACTAGACAGATCTATTAGGATGGAAAACTAGACACCCCACTGGACCCCGGAAATTAATGGCTGTGCGAAATTAAGCTGAATTATTTCACTCAAAACATTGCAGACTGAATTATGTTATTTCTAAGAAAAAAAATAATGAATTTAAAATAGAGTTTTCTGAAATCAGTGGTTAACTTACTGAAAAAATGGAGAGAATGTGCATAAGCACTTAAAATTACTCCACATTATAAAAACATGTGTGTAAGAAATATAAGACTAAGGTGCTTTAAAATAGGAAAATTATGTAGATTTTAAAGTTTTACAACTGTTAGGACACATTGTTTTAAGAGTAACAATCTTCTATTGTGCATGTGTGTGTGTGTTTTAATAAGGTTAGGATTTTACTATTGTATCATCTTAGACTAAATATCCTAAACTTTCATTTACTTAAAAATTGATTTTTTACAACATGATAATTTGTGTCATAAATTATAAACTTTCTCAATCATAAGAAATTGTCATGTTTTGGTAATAATATGTAATTAGGTCAGGACTAAATATTCCTCCATAGTAACACAAGTATCACAGTGTAAATCAAAGAAATATACAATTCACAAGAGTTATTTTAAAGAAATAGTTTCAGAAACTTAACTATGTCAGAAGTAAACGCTGTGTATTCTTTTGTGTCTAGATTATAAAATACTAAATAATATGAATACAAATATGTGCCCATAGCACAGTCTTCTTATAACACATTTGACAGTAAGGGAAGATGGTATGCCTTAAAATTTATATCCTACCAGAAGTAAAAATCCAGCTTTCTTCACATCAGTGTTCCAAGACTTCCCACACTTTGTTCTCATGCAAGTGTATGTGTGTGTGGATATATTGATCAATATTAATATTTATTACTGTCCATGTAAATATTCACTTTAATCTCATCTCAGTCAATACCTATAACTTAAGTCAATTAATCTTGTTAACTACTTCTGTGCAAGTTAATATTTTCTTAAATGAAATATAAATTACTTAGATGTTCACCTGCACACTTTGAATATTACAACTCATAATCACCATATCTTAATAGGTTATATGTACAATAAATCTCGATAAGTAAATTAAGCAGAGGAATTTATGTTTTCATCCATATGCAAATGCTCTTTTCAACCAGGGACCCCTATCTAGAGGCATTGAGGGAATTACTTTGTTAGGAGCATTCAATGTGGATTATCGGATACGAAGGAACATGGCACCGTGTCAGCTTTCCTTATTGTTCTTTCCTTAACACACACACAGGCACACCCACACTGCAGGAATTAGGCTTTCTAGAATTGTCCTTTCTATAAGTCTAGGAAGTAGATTGATCACTAATAAAATATTTAATCTAACATATCAATCTAATGGTCCGAAATGATCATTTTGCCTTCTTTTGTTATCCACTTCGCATTCCTGTAGATCTGGTGTCTGGGGAACGAAACACGATTTCATGTGAACAAAAGTGTGGATGCAGCCATCCGGTCGGTGGTCATCGGCGGGCTAGCCCCCGGTGTCCAGTACCGCGTGGAGGTGGCCGCGAGCACCAGCGCGGGGGTCGGAGTGCGAAGTGACCCGCAGCCCATCGTGATCGGTGAGTACCGGCCCCGGCCCGTGCTCAGAGCCCGCGGCTGGCGACAAGCAGGTCCTTCTCAGGGCTGCGTCCCCACGGTGCTCCTGCAGTAGCGAGTGACAGGGACAGGGACAGGCAACTGGGTTTGCTGGCGAGAGTTTTTTACCAAAAAAAATGATTATCAGTTGCTCATGCTCTGAAGACTCCCATGAACTTCTTAAAATTATAATTACTAAGAGTTTAACCTCTGAAAGGTTGTTTGAAATGATTTTTAATCAATAATTTCCTTAGTAATTTTGATGCCATTGGAATATAGTAGGAACTGAGGCAATTACGGAAGAAAGCGCATTATGTTTCAAATCTATATGCTTTCTCTTAACCAGGAAAAAAGTCAAAATTTAACCAGAAACAGGCCAAAAGAAACTTTGTAATCTGAATATACTATCCTGAAGAAGAAATCCCTATTAAATCTACTATCATTATTAGAGAAATTTGTTCCCGATCACTATGTTCTTGAATTGCATATAAATGGAATGGTACAGAATATAATATTTTGCATCTGGCTTCTTTTGTTAAACATAATATCTTTGAGATCCACCCATATATATATTAAGCAATTCATGTTTTATCTCTGAGCACTATCAATTTGTGTAATATATCCTATTTTGCTTTCTCTTCAGAGAATGAACATTCTTATGTAAGCCATTTTGAGGACATATTTTTTTATTTCTTTGGGAGAAATAACTAGAAGGGGAATGTCTGGGTAATGGATTGAAATACTTTGACTATAAGAGACTTTACACACTTTTTTTCAAATTGCGTAATTTTATAGTCTCACTAGCAAAGAATATTACTTCCAGTATTTCTACATTGCACCAACATCGGATGTTGCCTGTCTGTAATTTTAGCTGTTCTTGTGAGTGTAAAAAGTACTTTACTTCAGTTTTCTTTGAGGATTAAGGATGGTAAGGAACTTTATGCATTATACAGAATGTGCATATTAGACATTCACATATTTTCTTTTGTAAAATTTCTAAGTCTTTTACCTTTTAAAATTATGTTGCTTATCTCTTCTTACTGATTAGGAGGAGTTATAAAACCATTCTGTATATAAATTCTTTGCCATGTGTTTGTGTTGCAAATACTTTTGCTGCTTTGTGACTTCTCTACTTATGTTCTTAATAATATTTTGATGAGCAATAGTTTTAAATTTCAGTGAACTGCAGTTTATCAAACTATTTTTTCATGTTTCATGCTTTCTAAGAAATTGTGTCCTACCTCTAGATAGTGAAGATACTTACTTATGTTTTCTTCTAGAAGCTTTAAAATTTTAACTTTTATGTTTAAGTCTGTAATTCATCTTCAAGTAATTACATGTGGTTTGAGGGCTGAGGCTTATTTATTTCCAAACACATATCGAATTGCATTGGCATCATTTTTGACTTTCCTTTCCACAGTTAAGCACATATGTATGGATCTATTCCTGGATTCCCTATGTTGTTCCATTTCTTTGTATGTCTATCCATCTGCCAAATCACTGTCTTGGTTACTGTAGCTTATAGACAGTCGTGAGATCAGGTAATGTGAATATTCCATTATTTTCTTCTTCCGCACAATTGTTTTGCCTGTTCCAGGCTTGTGTTTTCATATACTTTTCAAATCAGCTTGCCAGTGCCTACAAAATTATGTTGGAATTGTTTCTTGAAAACCATGAATCTATAAATCAAATTGGAGAGATTATACATTTTAATAGTGAGTCTTTCTCTCCAGAATAGGATTATTCTTCATTATTTACCTTAATTTTTTCTCAACAATATTTTGCGGTTTTCCGAGTATGGTTGTGTCAAACTTATTTTCTGAGTATTTGATTTTTTTTACACTAAGTGGATTTATAAAATTTTCTCTTCCAACTATTCTGTATTATATAGAAATTTAATTTTATATATTGCTCTGTTATTGTTATCAGAGGATCACACAAGTGGGATTCCTCCATTGACGGTGGGAGTGGGGTTCTTCGGGAGCCTCTGGAATGAGCACTTTCCAGGCCCCCACGGGAGGGTGAGATGTGGGAAAGGCTTTACTTTCTTGGGGTTTCATTCCTCGGGTTGTAAAGTCCATGCCCCTTGAGCCAGTCCTGAAAGAGTGCAGCTGGGGCTTTAGTAGAGACAGAAGGGGCCCAGTGCCCAGAGTGTCCCTTCCACGGTGGGACTGAGTCCGGGGCAGCATCCGTCTAGTTCAAGTCCATCAGTCCATTAGGTGGGTCCCACATGGCCGTGAGCCTCGGGAGGGAATGCAGGGGAGCACACCCCCTGCCACGGGAGAGCCAGGAGCCCCGCGCAGGGTGCAAAAGAGGGTTAAGAGAAGTGCCCTTGTCCAGGAGTTTAAATATTCAGGGCTTGTAGCCTTGCAGCGGCCCTGCCTGTTCTGGCCACTGACTGGCTCCCAGGTTGACTGACAGGTAAGCATCTTTCTAGACCTTACTGGGCATGCGTGTACTGTCCAGCCCCTTCCCCCAGTGATTTTCAGGGAAAGACTTGCAGGGTGTTAGCTGCAGCTTTCTGGCAAAGCGGTCTAAATGGCATCTTATATTATTTAGTCTCGCCTTTCCTCCTTCCCTGTTATTTAATAACCATGTTATTACAACAGTATCATCATCACCTTATTTAACTTCGCTTATTTATTTTAATAGTTATGAAATAGTTATGAAATACTTCTGAATGTATTTGGATAATCGTCTGCTTCCTTTCTTCTGATTTGTGTTAATATAGTCAATTCTATTGAATGGTTTCAAAGATAGATAAACTTTGCTTTCCTGGACTAAATCCCACTTGGTCAGGATATACTATGCTTTTTACAGATATTACTGGATCTGATTTGCTAACATTTTGTAAATAACTTTGTATTTGGCCACGAGGGATATTGATTGGTAGTTGTTTTTTCCCTTCTAATGTCTTTGTCAGGTTTTAGAATCAGGGTTGCTTGCTTTATGAAATGGGTTGGGATTTATTCCTTCCTCCTTTATATTTTGTAAGTATTCTTTCAGGTCTTGTATTATTTCTTCCTTAAATACTTACTAGAATTCAGTGATGATATCTGTTCCTAGAATTTTATTTATTTTGTATGAATTTCCCACTTCCCCTAAGGATTTCCGGTTTTTGCAGAGGTTATTTAGAAGTACATTGTTGAATTTCTTAATGTTTTGAGATTTTCCAGACAGCTTTTAATTACTGATTTCGAATTTAATTTCACCAAGTCATAGCATGTACATTGTATGAACATGGCCTTTTAAATGTGGACATTTATTTAAATGGACCAGCATTTGTTCTTAGTGAATGTTTCTTATGCATTTGAAAAGTATGTGGATTCTTCTGTTTTAGAGCAGTATGTTCAATAAATGTCAGGTTAAATTAGTTGATAGTATTATTCAGGTGTTTAGTGTTTTTCTGCCTATTCTTTGAATTAATAAAAAAGTTTGGAACTTTATTATAATTTCAAGTGTGTTCATTTCTTCTTTCTGTATATAGATTTCATGTATTTTGTTACTCTGTTTTAAATGAATGCATTTTAGGATTGTTATATCTTATTAATAAACTTTCCCTTTATCATTACGAAATGCCTTACTCATTTACTACCAAGATTTTTGTCCTGAAATTTACTGTATCTGATATTAGTATTGCCCATCATCTTATAAGTCTTTAGTCTGTTTTGATTTTGGTAAATAGATTTTTCCATCCTTTTATTTCTGTTTAATAGTTTTTTCCATTCTTTTATTTCTGTTTCTTTGTATTTAATGTTTATTTTTATTTTTAAAGATATATATTGTTAGCTCTTGCTTTTTTACCCAGTATGACAATCTTTGCCTTTTAATTGGCCTGTTTAGACTGTTATCTTTAATTCAATTCATTCCATGTGTTTAGGCTTAATACTATTATCTCACTATTTATTTTCTATCTAGCTTTGTTCCTATTTATCTAATTTCCTGATTTCTTTTGGATGAACTGAAAAACTTTCTGTATTATATTTTGTGTCTATTATTGGATTATTAAATATACCTCTTTTTTCAATGGTTACTCTAGGATTTGCTTATAATATAAGGATCTTAGAAAATATTTCATTTTTCTTTTTGCTATTGTTATGCCTTTTACTTATATACATGTAATATATGCTAATGTACAACTAAAGAATTCTTATTGGGTGTGATTTAAATTGCCTCCAAATAGAAAGCTATGAAATTGGTAAGATTAACCTTATTTATTTCCCTTTACTCATAGTCCTGCCCTTTGTTTTATATATTTTGCCTAAGTTTCTATTTGTGTATGGTGGAGTTGCATGTCCATACTTGTTATTTCTTCATGGGCAGAAATGGAAGTATCCAGTGAATTATTTATTTCATATGATACACTTTTCTGTTCTAGAATTTCCATTTGTTATCTTTTACTTTTTCCACTCTCCTCTGAAATTTCCCCTTATGTTTATTTATTAGGACTCTGTTCATTTAAGTTCATGAACATATTGGAGTAGCTGCTTTGAAATTCTTGTCCCCTTGTTTCAACATCTGTATCACTTAAGGGTCTATTTCTACTGATTTCTTTTTCTCTTGATCTCGGGTCTTCTTTTTCTCATATTTTGTTATTATTTTGCTTATTTTTTATACCTAGTAATTTTTTTTACTGTACACTAGACATTACAGATGACATACTATAAAATTTTGTGAATTTCTGAAGAGTGTTGATTTTGTTCTAGCGGCAGTTATGTGACTAGCTTGTACTGGCTTGTTTTTTTACATTTTGTTAGTATGGAGCTGTTTATCTTTCAACCTTATTCTTAAGGCAAAAGCTCAGTTTGATCTCTAGTTCTAAGGCATGGCCCACTTGAGGTTTCAGTGAAAAGCCTAATATGTCTGTCTAGTCCCTCTAAATTGATGAAATGAAAGCTTCAAACATAATCTTCTGTGCAGTGAACAGAAGCTGAAAATGTGTGCTCAGCCTTTTCAGTGTTCTAGCTTTTGGTTCTCACCAGAC